CTGTTTGTCACAGTTTATCTTCTATATAATAAAGTTTAAAAAAAATGCTTTGTAAAAATATTATTCATTTTACGTTTAATTTATTTTTAGATGGTATAATGAAATTATTCGTTTTATAAAAACATAACATTATAAGCTTACTATTTTACATATTGGGCCCAGCACCGGTAGTGTTGTGACAAATAGCGACAACATAATATAATAAGGAAAGTACGCGCAAAAATACTTACAAAAAGAGTATGCTATTGTTTCGCAGTGAGAGCTATTACTTGTATGGACCTATCCGACCGTAATAATCTTAAGAGAAGGAAGAAATGTATTATATAAGTGCAAGGGAGTGCTAGATAAATTATAAACCTTGGGCAGTTGCTCAGTATTGAGAGGTGGTGTTTAGGAGGGGAGTATCATTCAGGGAATATGTAAGAGCTAAGTGAGTGTTGTTTAAGTTAGAGTTGTTTCAGTTAGATGAGTGTTGTTTTCTATTTTAGGTAAGTGTTGTTGTAGTGTTCTGTAAGTTTGTATAAAATATTGTACTTCTTGTTTGCAGTGTTCTATGTGTTAAAGTTTTGCGCGTCATTTAATGATTTTGTTTGTATGAATCAATATATTCGTAAATACTTTGATTTTCTGTCTTAGTTTTAGTTTTTTTATGTTCTTTTTTATCGTAATCTTTCCTATTTATTTGTTTCGTCTCGACTTATTTAGTTTTAGTGTTTTTATGTTCTTTTTTATCGTAATCTTTCCTATTTATTTGTTTCGTCTCGTCTGTTAATATGGTTCTATTCTCTTTCCTTCACTGAATTTTCTTTTTGTCTTTCTTATTACTTTGACGTCTTTCGCTCTCTAGGTCTTTGATGTAATTTTGCTTTTTCAATTTGTGATTTCGTATTTTTTACTGTAGTAATAGGTTGTTGGGTCTTATCCCTAGTGTATATATTATAATTAATACTGTTTTAGTAAAAATATTCGTTTTACCCATAAGTTTCTATTTAATAATTAATACCTATTTGGTGTACATATTCATTCTACTATAATACAAATAATACCTTTTTAGTATCTCTATTTGATTTACTCCCCGTTTTTAACTTATATTGCTTTAGTGAAGAATTAATTTTAGTGAAGAATTAACTTTAGCCTCATTTAGTATTTCAAAATTTAAAAAAATTAATATGTGGTTTTTAGATTTCAAATAAAAATTGAGCAGTGAGGTGCTAAAATTACTTTATAAGATATGTTTTACAACATATGTTTTTAAGATAAAAGGGATTTTGAGGTTTGTGGCTAGTTTTGTAAGCACTATTTGGCGAGTGCAGTACAGTTATAGCGACACAATTCGGTTCACTGTTGCTGGGGTCGGGAAGTGTGTAACATATGTCCGATATGTATAAGGTATAACATATGTCCGATATGTATGTGGCTTAAGTGATTAGATGATTAAAATAGTCAATTACAACTAATTTAGTAGTTAAATGATTAAAATAGTCAATTACAAGTAATTTAGTAGTAAAAATCATTGTAATATAAAAGTAAATAAATCGTGGGAAAGGTGCCGCGCAAGTGGAGTTCGGGTTTGAGGTCATCATAATGGTCGAAAGTTGTGGTATGTGACAAACCTTCATCTCGTCAGGGCCATGTCGGAATGTCTAAGCTTGTTTCGAAGAAGTTAAAGTACTAAAACAACTCCATGGCCTACAGCTTATTTACCACGTGTGGTTTGGTATGTGATGAACTCACACCCGAGGAGTCTCCTATTTTATCTGGTGTGCGTTTTAAGTATTATAAGGTCATACAAAATAAGTGTAGATCAATATAATATTGTAGGTAAAATTAGTGTAGATTATTATAATATTGTATTTATAGTATTGTATAATATTGTAATATTGATAAATAATCTTAGGGGGATTGGGTACAGTAGGGTGGGTTCATGACTAGACGCATGTGTATATGTATATATACATATACAGAAACGTAGTGATACAAACATCCACATATCCGGTCCAAATATAAGTGCATATGTATATATAAATAGATATACATCCACTCAATTTTAAGGTGACCAAGTGAAGTTAAGGAGGATTGGGTACGAGAGAATAGATTTAAACGTGGGTGTATGCACATACATTCACACGCCCAAATCAACATTCCCGTATGAGTATGCATTTATGTACACATTTATGTACACACATTTATCCATACAGCATCTAGGTTTTTTTAGGTGAGGTTAAAGGGTTGAGAATGAGGGTTTAAGTTCGTATATGGGTATAAGTATATATATGTGCAAACACAGGTATGATCAACATATGAGACCAGCACATCAAGTACACACATATATATAATTATCAGACACGTCAGATTAGGGGAGGGGTTAAGTACGAGAGGATAATTTAGTTTGTATTGAATCCTACCGTTTCTGGCTTTGGGCTATTCCTCGGTTCTTTCTCTTCTTGCGTTTTATCATTTTCTTCATTCTCTAGATATTTACTGTTTCCTTTTTCTTTTAAAAAAACGTTTTGTGTAATAAATATCTCATCTGATGAGTTTGTATTCTATAAAAAAATTTTTCAGTGGTACTTTTCAGTGGTAAATTATAGTCGCTTGTGATGATAAGGTGAGTAGTAACGTGTAATGATAAGGTGAGTGGTAAGTTGTCATGTGGCGGTAATGATTTTTCCTAATAGGAATGTAAATGTAATAAAGGAAATGTTTTTCTTACCATTTGGCTGGAAGTTATCGTAGGGTATTTGTCGTTATTATTATTTGATGCCATTGGTGCGTTTTATTGATTTGTTTTATTAAAAAATCACTAAAAATTACTAAAAATTAAGTTTCTTGAAAATCTTTACTAGCTCTTGAAATTCTTTGCTGACTCTTTGCTTATGAGCAGATATCTGGTCGAAGTTAAATGTGCGCACATGAAATGTTAATTTTCTAATTTTAGAAGTTCTATTGTTCTATCGTCGTAAGTTTTCAATGGTTTATTGTTCTATTTATGCATCATTAATCTTTCTAGACTATTCTTAGAGTAATTGTTGGTTTTGTCTTTGTGAGCTAATTCCTTAGCGTGTATTTTCAGAGCAGCTGATTTTTGAGGTTATCATTTAGAGGTTATCATTTTATAATAATTAGTGTTTTATAATAATTAGTAATCGTTTTATAATAACTATTTTATGATAACTATTTTTTGATAACTATTTTATAATAACTTATCTTTAGGGGTTATCATTTTATAATTATTAGTGTATTTAGTTTAGTTAGTTGTATGTGTTTGTTATAAATAAGATATCACATTTTGAATATATACTGTTAAATCAATATATATTTTGTATATAATGATTTAATTATAATAATTAAATCATTATATACAAGTCAAAAAAGGAGAAATGACATTTAAACTACAGAAGGCTATGATTTACAAGAAACATATATTACAATCGGTATTAAAATATATTAGAAAGGGTATTTAGATATTTTCGATGTCGAATTCATCATTGGTAGGAAATAATTCCATATTTTCTGTGAGAAATGTCATTACTTCTTTAACGTCTGTTTTTAAGGTTTTTTCTTCACCTCCTTCCTCAGTATGACCCTTTTCCGTTCGGTTGTATACCGATAGTCTCCTTCTGTTTCTTTGTTGTTTTCCGAGTCTTCCTTTTTTCCGTTCATCGTTTTTTATTCCAGTCATGTGTATATAATACATATAATACATGTGTATATAATATATAATACATTTCTTCCTTCTCTTAAGATTATTACGGTCGGATAGGTCCATACAAGTAATAGCTCTCACTGCGAAACAATAGCATACTCTTTTTGTAAGTATTTTTGCGCGTACTTTCCTTATTATATTATGTTGTCGCTATTTGTCACAACACTACCGGTGCTGGGCCCAATATGTAAAATAGTAAGCTTATAATGTTATGTTTTTATAAAACGAATAATTTCATTATACCATCTAAAAATAAATTAAACGTAAAATGAATAATATTTTTACAAAGCATTTTTTTTAAACTTTATTATATAGAAGATAAACTGTGACAAACAGCTGCACCACACCATACAAACGAAAATTAAAATAAACAAGAGCTAAAACAAAAATTGCATTATACGTAAAAAACAACCGCAGACAAAACTTGGGCCATCACTAGAATCGTACAACTAGAATAAAATAGATTTAATATAATACAAATATTTTCAATATACCGTATTAATTTAAACTAAATAATATACCGTATTAATTTACACTAAGTAGTAAAAGATTAAGTACAGTTAAACGTATATTTTAATTTGAATATAAATTGAATATAAAATTAGTATATTGAATAGACCATATAAATTGACCTAAGTAGAAACTAAATTTGAAAAGAATTATTCTACCATTAATCGTATAAATTGAACTAAATTTGAAAAGAATTATTCTCTCATAACCATATATATTAAACTAAGTTTTTAACTACACCATATGTTCGTATTTAAATACACAAAAATTAGTCTTAAAAACAAATATAAAATTAAGTACTGCATTGAAACATATTGACTAAATATAAATTAAATATAACACGAAAAGCTCTACCTAGCCATGTCAATATGACCTTTTTGAACAATATTATGAAACACATCAATTCACAAGAAACAATATTTTGAACCACATCAGATCACAGAATCCATATAATTTTTAGTAGTACTCAATGTCTAATGAATCAAGTAATTTAGTCATATTATGTTAATTGTGTATCACATCATGCTTACCACAACAACGATGGCAAATGTTAATAATTGTTTTGGTTTTTTATATATTTATCTTATAAATTCTTATAGGTTTGATTAAAGGTTTCATATTTTTTATCTGAAGCTGGAAGTGTTTAGGTTACATTAAAATAAACAAACCTATTATGGGTATCACTTTTTGAGAATATAAACTAAATTTAAAACGAATATTTCCATCATAAGGTTGCACATCTTTATAAACGAACTCAATAAAACGATCAACTGCACGAAACGGTATGAATTACAATCGAACCTGTACTAAGTTAAATGAAACTGGAATTAAGTAAAAACAATAATAAGAGTTGGAATTAAGTAAAAACAGTAACAAAAGTTGGAGTCAAAGTAAAACAATAATAGTTTGTAATATAATCAATCACTTCTCCTCTAAGGCAGATACGGCTAAATATTTTCCATTAGTGATTATACTTCATTATACTTATATTTAAAAAGAACTTAATAATATTGGAAGTAAACAACACTGAGAATTAGATTATTGACGAACACACAAATTCATACAAGAAAAGACATTAAATGACACATAGGGCTTTCATGTTGAGGACATTACAAACACAAACACAAAAACTTGCTGAGCGCTGAATCAACACTTACTTAAATCGAACTTTACCAACATTCACTTAACTCAAACGCAATCACTAAATAATACTCCCCTTCTAAACACCACCTCTCAATACTGGACATCTGTCCAAATATTATAATTTATCTAGCACATCCTTGCACTTACATAAAATATTTCTTATTTCTCTTAAGACTGTTACGGCCTGATGGTTCCATATAAGTGGTGGAACTTTAATAGCTTCCACTGCGAAACAATAGCACATTATACTTATATTTAAAAAAAACTTAATAATATTGGAAGTAAACAACACTGAGAATTAGATTATTGACGAACACACAAATTCATACAAGAAAAGACATTAAATGACACATAGGGCTTTCATGTTGAGGACATTACAAACACAAACACAAAAACTTGCTGAGCGCTGAATCAACACTTACTTAAATCGAACTTTACCAACATTCACTTAACTCAAACGCAATCACTAAATAATACTCCCCTTCTAAACACCACCTCTCAATACTGGACATCTGTCCAAATATTATAATTTATCTAGCACATCCTTGCACTTACATAAAATATTTCTTATTTCTCTTAAGACTGTTACGGCCTGATGGTTCCATATAAGTGGTGGAACTTTAATAGCTTCCACTGCGAAACAATAGCACATTTTATTATGTTTTAGCCAGAATTATAAGTTTTTAAATATGAAATCATATTTTAATAGTGCTTAGGGATCCCTTTAATAAAAAAGTCTTTGTTTTAAAACGCTTTTTATTCATTCTTTAAAATGCTTAGTATCACTTTTTCATATTTTAGATAGTGATGACAACAATTATCCACACGATTCCAATGGTGAGGTTTTATATCTGATTAAAAATGTTTTGTTTTAGCTTTTACAATTTTAATAGTCTATTGAATAAGTGATGTCAATCCTTTTGTCATTACCATTAAAGAAATAATAATTAGTTTTAGTTTGTTGTGTTGTCAAAATGAAAGTCCTTTGCAACAGTTTACTCAAAAGTTATATTTTGTTGTTGTTTTAGAAGAGTTGTCCAAGTTCCCCACTCCTCCAAAAGCGCTCAGCGAACTAAGTTCACGTTTACATTGTAGACAAATTAAATCTACCACTAATTCAGTCTGTCAAAGTTTTCTTGCTCATCCAAAGCTTACATCAAGCATTAAAACCTCTCAGTCACAACTACCTTCAACAATACATAACCTAGTTGTACCCAAAAAACCTAGCCAATCATGTTTTCTGTTAGCTGCATCAAACATATCAATCAGGTCAACACCAAAATCTACCCAGTCACGTCTGCCAATTCCAGTCACGTCAACACCATCAAACCAACTGATAAGGTCAATACCCAAGTCCGTCCGCACCGTCAGATCACTAAAAACAGTAGCTAGTGATACTTCTACAGTCAAATCAAGAAATAGTGCATCCAATGAAGTAAGTAAAAGCACCGATCCATTAAATGCAAGTAAGTAAAAAATTATTTTTAAATATGGATTAAAATAATGTTTTAATGTAATAAATAAAATTGTATTGAACTATATATTGTAATTATTTGCATAGATCGAATTATATTAACTTATATTTTCAAGATACGATGCTTTTAATAGCTTAACTGAATTTCAGAATTCCAGAAGTCAGTTCTCTTCAAACTGTCACAACTCACCATAGAAATCTTGGAAGTTAAAAAGCTCCTTGAGCGACAATCGATGCCAGCTGCTTTACTAAGTGCTAACAACTCAATGGACTCTTTGGAAATTAGTGATGGCCCCATTGACACAGTTGAACAATACAAGTCGTTGGCTTTTCGTTGTGAAAGTCCTGCTGCAAGTACTCTTTTGGTAAGTTTTATAAACTTATAATGATTGTATAAAAATAGCTATTCGACTTTGCCATAATCAAGAATTGACTTTAATTTTTTTAATTTTAGTTACATTTGCTAAAGAAAATTGGTGGATCAGATCTGGGAAAGACTACTGCGTATATTATGTCGCGACTTTTTACTAATTCTTTGATGTCACAAATGAACATGGATGGTCGAGGAAATTTGGGGAAAGTTCCATTCAGAAGATCCTCTATATGTAAAGTTGTTGTTGGTAATTCCAATGTTGATTTTTCAATGTTTTTTTTTTTTTAATGTTGAACACATATTTTAAATGCAAATTATTATAACCCAGTTTTTTTGCTGTTATAAAAATAGACTATTTATAGTCTATTTTCAGACTGGTTTGGTTGCTTATATATTCTGAGGGTAAAAAATTTTATAATGGATTTATTATTAACTTCGTTAATTTTTTTTTTAGATTCTATAATGTACAATTTCCCCAATATGTCTGTAGCTCAAGCACATAATGCTATAGCCGCATATTTAAAACAGGCCTCATGGCGGATAGGAGGACCAAAAAAAAACATCTTTGAGAATAAAGAAAACGTTATTAATGATGATCAAAATGTAGAGGAAGACGACCAGGAGACGAGTATGAGTGATGATGTTGATCAAGAACCGGCGCCCAATAACAAAGAGCGGGCGCATGATGAACAAGTACCGGTGCACGATGAACATGCGTTGGACGATATACTTGAAAGATTTTTGAGAAAGCATAAACCAGAGTAAAATAGACTTTTTTATACGGATTTAACGTCACTGTAATATTGCTAGTGCTAAGATAAAATAATTACTGCGATTAAATTTTTTAAAATTATTGAGAAAATTCCTTCCTTCCTCCTCTTCCCCCACCCCTCCTCCCCCCGCCATTTATGTGATAAATCTCAACTATAGGGTTTTACATAACTTTATAATAGGTATATATAGTATAAAAGGAATATAGTAAAAAAGTTGTAAATAGTTACAAAAGTATACAAAATATTTGTTTATTTAAGATAAGTATATAAGATTATTAATATATATATATATTAAACGTTAAGATCTATTCTAAAAAGCGAATGTAAAGTGTTTAAATTTAGTATAATTCAACTTATATTAGTCGCTTCGATCTAGCCTAGTAAACATATATATATGTTTATTAGTCTAGATCTAAGCGTCTAGAATTATAATAATTTATACCCTTAAATTCGTTTATTGAATTAGATCTTAACGTTTAATTAGACTAAATCTAAACGCTTCATATACGTTTATTAGACTATATCTAAACGCATTATATATGTATAATATACGCTTTATATACCTTTATTAACCCTATAATAGACGTCGAAAATACGTTGGAATCTAAACGTTTTATGGAGGTTTGGTCTAAACGTTAATCTGGATTTCATTCTGAACGTATAATCGACCAAATCTAAACGGTTATCTAAACGTTGTTTCGACGTCTAATAAACGTTTGTGTGTTTGCTGGGCTCTTTCGAACAATAAAGATATATCAGAAAGACAAAAGAACCAAACATTAATTAATTTCTAAAAGTGTTGAAACACAAGAACAAAAAATTTATAAAATAAAACATTATTCATAAATTAAATAAAATGTATTAATTTAGCAACCAAAGAAATGTGTAAATCACTGAAGCATAGAAAAAAATGTTCAGAATCTTTTCTTCCTAAATCAACTTGCAGACAGACAATTAATAACTTGAGCTACAGTATGTGGTGTATGCATAAAAAATGTTTTCTGTTTCTTTTTTTGCGTTACAGGAGTAGGTATTTGCTTACTATTCTGTTGGTTATTATGTTTTCTCTTGCATAAGCATGGTAGTGGCTCCTATAATAATTAATATCAAAATATAACTAATAATACTTGAATTAAGTATCTTTTGAAATAGTTACTGTTTTCTGAACCTGATTCTATCTGAGTATCACTTATAGAGGCAAATTCAAATTTATTACATAACTCATGATCTAAGAATATTCATTCAATTTAAAAGTGTATTAAATACATTATGTAATAAAGAATATATAATAAAGAATATATCTAAACACTGAAAACAACATATACAGATGAAAGCATGTTAAAAAAACAAGGAAAAAAAGTAATGACTTAAGGTTTATATTAAAAAAAAATTACATTATCTCCATGACATTAAATTTTGAGCAGCTTAAATCTGTATTAGTTAGATGCGGTTTATGTATTTCATTGAAACAATTTATTACATTTAAAGATGACGAGCAGCACAAAAAATTATCAATCAAATTTTCTCTCTTTATTTCTCTGTATTTTCTATCCAAACAGCTCGAATGAACATTTTGCATGCCCTACTACACTTTTTCAACTGAAAAAGTATAGTAAAAATTATAATAGAAAAAATACTTATATATTAAAAATTTGTTCATGTAAAATAGCTAACAGAAAAATACAACTATAAACTGTACGTTATGATACATTATACAGATGCTAAAATTTGCTAAATTTTTATGTTGATCTTTCTACCAATATTATGGACTAAAGAAGCATTCACAAATTCTTTGTTATACAACTTTACAAGAAAAATCTTTAAAAATTTAATAAAAATTTTTTAATATAAAAAATATTTAAACTCTTTAAATCACATGGATTGGTAAAAAAGCTTGATAAATCATTATTTTGTAAAACATCATCCATTATATATATTTATATTATGTATGTATATATACATATATAGTGTATGTATATATTATATATGCATATTATATACATGTATATATATATATATATATATATATTATTAATGCGCATAGTTACGCGTATTGTTTTATAGTTACGGTACGGTTCTGTATCTGTAAAATACACTTTTTAAGTAGTTTCTAGACTTTTCTTTACCGCGTGCTAACTTACAGATTTCCCTTCAACCTTTCATGGTACGAGTTCAAAATGTCCAAGTTGATATTAAGTAGATAATGTTTAGTAGCTTAAAATTATAGGTAATCTAATTTTTTTTTAAATTTAAAAGTAATTAATTTATTGTAATCTTTTTTAAATTGTAATTTTAAATTTAAAGCTTCGTGTTATAGATTACTTTAATTCTTAAATTGTGTCTAGCGTTAAAATATATTTATGGGTAGTTTCATGCTTTCACTTAGTTTTGGTTATTCGGATAAAAGCCATGACAACATTTTGTTATAAATTTATCTTAATTTAATTTTTATTGAAAATTTTGTTATAAATAAAATTTATCTTTAATATTGTTAATACTTTTGCTCTTTGAAAAAAAAATATGTTTCTGGCTCTTCAATAAATATAAAATAATTTGTATTGCATGAATGAATTTTGGTTTAGGATTTAATTGTGCTATTTATGTTTGTCTATCTGTAATTTATTTAGGTTATTAGAAAATTCATGTTTACAGAGATGTTATTAATCATAATCGAGCTGTTAAACCAAGGAAATTGTGGAGGTTTATTTATCATATATACTATATATATTATATAACTATATTGTAGGGAGTAAGTTTAGAAGCATTTTTAAATTTTTAAAAAGAAATAAAAATACTTTTCAATATATATCTGTTTTCTTTGAGGTAGAACTAAAGTTTCAGTTTTTTAAAACTTTAAATTAACTTTACAATGTTAAAATGGTTTAAACGAACTTAAACGGATTTTTGTAAATGAATTTAATCCTCAAAGATTAATTTTTTTTTATTATTGAAGAAATTAAACTAGATTTAAAAATGAGTCGACGTAAATGTTTGTTTGTTTTTCTATTTAGATGATGACAATATTGAAGCAAGTAAGTTAAAAAGCATTTTTAAATTTTTAAAAAGAAATAAAAATACTTTTCAATATATATCTGTTTTCTTTGAGGTAGATTTAAAGTTTCAGGTTTTTAAAATCATATATTTTAAAATCATATATATAACTCATATATCTTTGTTTTTCTATTTAGACGTTGGTAATAATATGAAACAAGTAAGTTATAAAGCATTTTTAGATTATTAAAAAGAAATAAAAATACTTTTTATTATATATCTGTTTTCTTCGAGGTAGATTTAAAATTTCAGGTTTTTTAAATCATATATATTATAAGATTTAAGAATAAGTCGACTTTAATGTTTGTTTGTTTTTCTATTTAGACGTTGGTGATTATATCGAAACAAATAAGTTATAAAGCATTTTTAAATTTTTAAAAAGAAATAAAAATACTTTTCAATATATCTGTCTTCTTCAAAGTAGATTTAAAATTTCAGGTTTTTATAATCATATATATTATAATATTAAATTCTTTTTTACTTTAAAAATATCTATATTATAGTTACACTGAGTCGCAGAAAAAAATTAAAGTTTATTAATAAGGTAGTAGATTATTAGAGTAGATTAAATTGTTTGATCTATTAATAAACTTAATAACGTACTATTAATATGAAGATTTATTTTGGTTGTTTGTTTGTTAAAATTTAGTTAGAGTTTATTTACAATTTAAATTCTTTAGTTAATCAAGAGAGATCTAATAAAGGTATTAATTACATTATTTAAATGTGGCATTTAATATGTATTTTATCGATATTTTAACATCTAAACATTAAAGTGCTTTTAGTGTTTCAATACAGAAGTGAAGAAGGAAATAAGTCAGTGTTTTTGCTATTAGATATTTGTTAATAGGAATTTGTTTATTTGTACTGCCACTGGAATTTTTAAAAATCAAGTTCTTTAGCTTCATTTTTATACTTTCTTGTTTTGGAAGTTGGAACAAAAACTAAGTATAAATTATGATTAGTTTAATAAATAAAGCATTAATATTTAGAAGATTTAAAGTTTACTTTAGTTTATAGTTTTGGTTTAGTTTATAGTTTTGTTTTTAGCTTTAGTTTTTTTTTTCTTAGACAACTTCATGGATGAAATGAGGGGGATGGGTAAAACAATTATTTAGATATGTATATATTTATATGTTAACATTATTTTATCGATTATTTTATATTTATTTAAGTATATATTTGTCTTTAGTGTCTGGTGGAAGTATAGCTGGTAGGGCTGTGTTTTATATTTTATATGTTTTGTAATGAGAAATATGTGCAATAGGTGGAAAAATTAATTAATAAATATAAAACTTTTGAACTGGTTGCATTATTGCCCTATATATTTATTAAAATACAAAATGTTGCATGTTTAACCTTTTTTAATTTGCTCTCTTTTTTTTTTTTCCCAACACCCGGGACCTCTCTCAGAGAGGTCCTTCAAAAAATGGAAAGATCATGGCGGAATGGATAAGCCCTCCTTTAAATGGAGGGCTCATCCATACCGGGGTGTTGGGAGACACCGAAGAAAAAACAGCAACCAAAAGTTTGTAAATGTCTTCTATCAGTAGAGATATTTATGACTTTTTAGTTGCTGCTTTTTCTTCGGTTTTTTTTTTTTTTTTTTAATTTTGTAATTTTTTGTTTCGGTGTTTTTCCTTTTAATTTTGTAATTTTTTTTTTAAATATATGTTACGTTGTATATTTGATTTGTTTTGATCTTTTTTAATGAAAATTTTAATTGTTTTCTCACCAATTAAGCCTGACTTCAAATTTAAAGCCCTCTTAAATACCCCTCCCTAAAATCAAAAGTCGAAAGTTGAATTGATTCATTATCTAATTATCATAATATAATGATGCTGCATTCTTTTGTTAAAAACAATTATTTGGTATGTTTCATTTATTGAACTCACTGCTTTTAAAATTTGCCAAAACCCAAGGCAATATATTTAGCTATATAAATACAATTTATTTATCTCGATTCCATTCTTCATCTTTTATGTTTATAGTTTGGCTCCTTGAAGCATTTTATGTTTTGCTTTTTTTGTTATGAGTATTTTAAATCCGTTCTGATGTCTTTTAAATTTACTAAAAGCCAATATAAAAATTACGTTTTTGAACAACACCAAAAAGAACAGCTGCATCCCTACAGCAACTGCTGCAGTATCACAATAGGTTACCAAAAGCAGGTATACTGTTTTCCAGTTGTTGTTTTTTTTTTTCATATATATCTACTTATCTATATAATACTATAGTACGATATGTTTATATCTCATTCATTTTTTTTTTCTTTAAGTGTCAATAATTTTATTCTTTGAATGAGATTAGTTAAACAAGTCGGCTTTCCAATTCAAGATATTGGTTTCAAAATTGAACACCATTGGCAAAATGCTAACAAAATTAAGTAGTTTTAATAGAAAAACAAACAAACATTTAAGTCGACTCATTCTTAAATCTAGTTTAATTTCTTCAATAATAAAAAAAAATTTAAACTTTGAGGATTAAATTCATTTACAAAAATCCGTTTAAGTTCGTTTAAACCATTTTAACATTGTAAAGTTAATTTAAATTAGGTTTAAAAATCTGTTTTCAATTTAATACACTTTTTTTTAAATATACTTTTTTAATATACTTTTCTATAACAATCCTACTAATATGGAATCACGTAGCTTTCTAAATATGTTTAATTGTCGTCCCTATCGGTAATAAATATTTTAAATTATTTGATATGGTTTTCTTTACATTAGGCTATGCTTGGCTCCTCGGTGCTGTAAATGGTGGCTTCAACTTTGTTAAGAAAAATGTGTTTTATATATGCCTCTGTTTTAAAATATTTTTGTTACATATTTAACTATATATCATGTAAATAAATTTCTTTTAAAGATATGTAAACTTGATACTTGCTTTTTTACGGATTTTCAAAAAGTGAACAAAGCTTTAAATATATTTTTTAACTGTCTTATATGATTTTATCAATTTTATTAAAGCTGAATAATTACTTCAAAAATATTGAGTAAAATCCAATTGCTTTTATTATTAACCTGATCTATACAAAATTTAATGAAATAAAAATAATAATTTAACGCCAAGTTAAGGCAAAATGTATTCCGAACATTTTATAAAATTAGTATAAATATGGATTGGATGTATGCTGAAATAAATATGTTGATACACGTTAGCTATTAAAGTAAATCCATATATTCCTTTATTATTTTTTTATAAACAAGTTTCTGCTGGATTACTAATTAAAAAAAGGTTGGTTTAATAATAATCTTTATCATAATAATATAGGATCCGTATGCAGGGCTAAGCCCTTTTCGGAAATGCGATATATTTTTCAACTTATAGTATTCCGGATATCCAACTTCTATGCCTACAAGTTTTAGTGTAATATTTTAGATGTTTTAAAAATATTTAAAAAGTACATTAATAACACAAAGTTTAGGTGCGATAGTGACATATTTTTAAGCTCTTCACTCAGTAAAATGAAAAGTTTAATAAAAAAGAAACGACTCAGCTTAAAGCAAAATTGAGAGTAGAATATATTCCCAATATTTACCTAAACAATTTTACGGAATTAGAAAATTTGACATTGATGTTCTGTGCATATAATTCAAGTCATTTTTAATTACTACATGGTTGTGATTTGCGCATTCAATGTCTGAACATTGCAAAAGAAATGGTTAACTTTATCTTTAATGAAGCTAAGAGTTCTCTGAAACTATGAAGCCATGAAAAATAAAAGTGAGTTCAACTAAAAAAATGTATAAATAAATTTATATTTCATTAGAGAAAGTAAATAAAGATCAAATTGTTAGTAATTTTTTATTTACTACTAACCCGTATTACGGGTTGCTTACTGTATGAATAAATTTATATTTTATTAGAGAAAGTAAATACATATCAAAGTTTTAGTGATGATTTATCTACTACTAACCCGTATTACGGGTTACTTACTGCTAGTATTTTATTAATACGAAATATTAACACGAAAATTTTTTAGCGGTTCTTGACGACAAGACCTTACGGTCTTCTACGAGTTCCCGCGTTCTTTTATTTTTTAATAACGATCATGTATATATATATATTGTTATATTGTTAACGAATATTTATTAAATCACAAAGTTGTAAAATTAAAGAACAAAAAAAAAAAAAAAACATAATTTTTTTTTTTTTTTTTTTTATAATTTTTTTTTTAATTTATTTATTTTTTATTTTTTTTATTTTTTTTTTATTTAATTTATTATAATCATTTTTACAAACTAAGAATATGCAGCTTTGCCTGCAGTTTAAATGACGATATTCCATTTAAGTCTTTTGATTTTTGATTTTTCAAGTTTTTCCATTTTTTAGGACCCTGTGACATAATTGAAAATTCAGAACCCCGGGTTTTAGTTTTTATAATATAATAGTTATGAAAGCTATTTGATCGCAGGTTATAACTTTGAGATTAACAAGCTTAACTAATTAAATTAACAAGCTTAACAGCCAAAGTAAATAAAACTTAATTACTACAGGATTATCTAGCTCTACCAGGTTGCACAATAAAAGTAATTCTTATTTACAAAATAAAATATGCCAAAATTTTTGAAACAAGACTGTTATAATCAAAAAAAAGTAAAAACTGAAACATTAAATCCAGGAGATATTTGTTTAGTCCAATGTGCATCATCTGTTAACAACTCAACATTAGATTTTGTTTGCAGAATTGAAGAAATAAATGTGCAAATATTTTGGTTTTTTATTTGTTGAAGAAAAAATAGACTTAATATCTTTAAAAAAATAAAAGATATTAAAGACTCTATATCTTATACTTTTCTGATTTTACAAAGAAGTGGCTGTTGCCAGTTGCAGAAGTCTATACTTAACAATGCAGAAAAAATGACGATAGGTTCTGGTATGACATTCAAATTTGATTTTTTCATATTCAAACTTGGTTGAATATTAAGAACTTTACTTTTTTAATTGGATGCAAAAAACCTTCGTGTTTATCTTTACCTGTTTTACATTTACACTCTTTGTTCCTTTATTTTTTTATGAAATTGATAGAAGATTGACTAAGATTCATTTTAGCTGTTTATATATAATTTAAAATATAATTGTTTAATGATTGTAAGATCTTCATCAAATTTATTACAGCTGTTGTAAATAGTTTCTCTTAATTAAAAAAAAAATTTAAAGAAAAGTTTTTTTTATTATTTTATTTCCCAACAATATCCCAACTTACCCCCTCTGGTTGGGTAGCTTAGGACAATGAGTAGCTTTGTTTTTTAGGTAAAAAAGCGACTATAGTTTATTTAAACTGGCTTAGATACGCTTTTTATTTAAGAATTAATAGTTAAAGTATCTTTTTCATCAAAAATTTTACTTTTTGTCAAATAGTATGAAAGTAAAGAATCATTTTCATAAACCTTAAAACAATTTAAGAAAATACCTTAAAATAATTTAAGAAAATGATTCTTAAATTGTTTCACTATAAAGTGGTAGAAATTTGTTCAAAAAAACAAAAGGGTTAAAAGGGAGAGATCTGTAACTCAAAAGTTTCAGTTAGAAGATGATTTCGTATGCAAAGTAATGGAGAGTATAATGAGACGCTTTGATGGAAAATCTTGTTAAAAATAAATTAATATATGATTTACATCATTAAAATAGAACATGTACAACGAAGAGCAACAAGAATAAGATGTTTAAAAAGTATGAAATATGTGGAGCAATTAAAAGAATTTGGATTGACGTCGGAGTAATATAAAAGAATATTATAAAATTCAAAATAATTTTCCTAAAGTAAAATGGAAATACCCTCCAATGAACAACTTATATCCAAAACTAAGAGGTCATAATAAACGGTGCACAAACAAAATGTTCGTGCAACCGCTTCGGAAACTAGAACGCATTACTTTACTAATAGGATTGTTAATAAGTAGAACAGTCTAACCTATGACGTTGTTAACTCTGTTAATTTAAATACTTTTAAAAATAAACTCGACGATCACGAGAAGGGGAATTCCAAATAAAAATTGAATAGTTAATATTTTGTTATGTCACAAATTTCATTAGTATTTTTCATCTTACTGTTAAAGTCACGCAAATACAGTTGAGTGACTCACATATTTTTTAAATTTACTGTTAACATTATTGTTACTTATTATAATTATAGAATTTTTATGTAGCAGGTTTATTGTAAATGTAATAAAGTAAAAATTATTTCTGTTTGTTATTAATAAAAGAGTATTACGGAGACAAAAGATATTAAAAATAGAAGATCTAATAATTTACTGTAGTAATAGTAGTAGCAGTTTTATGTGATAACTAAAGCGGATAAAATAATCTACTACTATAGTAGATTATTCCGTCCGCCTTATATATTCCATATATGTTACTCCTAAAAAGTTTATATATATATATATATATATATATATATATATATATATATAAACTTTTTAGGAGTAACATTGAATGAGAATTTAACCCGGATTAATCATTATACTTATATCTAAAATAAATTAAACAACAGTATCGCTTTTTTATCTAAAATAAAACACATTATAGATGAAAAAACTTTAAAATTTTTTCATTACCATCAACTTCTTTCTCATCTAACATACAGCCTTACGGTTTGGGGTCAAAATTCATCAATTATAAATCATATATAAATCATTAAAAAGGAGACTATTAGAATAATTAAATTTTTGCCATATAGTTTCAGTACAGATACATACATTATACAATTCTAAACCTGTACTATTTATGATATACTAAAAATTGAAGTTAAATATTTTTTATCTTATTTGTCAACTTATCTGATGTTTATATTTAATTTCTAATCCACACCCGACAATTTCTAAACTTGTTCCTTAGTCTTTATAGTTTAATTTATTTAGTAAACGGCAAAAAATAAAACAATTTAAAGTTCTGGTAGATGGTAAAATACGAATTTTAATTGCAATTACAATTAAAGTTCGCATTTTACCACCTACCAGATGGTAAAATGCGAACTCCTTAGAAAATTAAATCGAACTTTGTTTTCTCGTTAAATTATAATTAATTTAAAAGAAAATTCTAACTTAAATAAAATATATCGAATACCAATATAATTAATTTAAAAAATCGACGAGGAAACGTTTTTATTATCATGACTGTTGTGGTCATTAAAATGTTTGCATTTTAATGACCACAAAAGTTTGCATTTTACTGACTACCTGCAGTTCTTGATTTCTAATTTACTGTTCTTTACAACTAATTAGCATTATTACTTATCACATTAATACTTATTTATTTTATTATTTTCTACATAATAAAAGCATTTATCACAGTTGCGTGAAACTTAGGCTATGATAATATTTTAATTCTCTCATAAGGATTTAATTAAAAAGCAAGTTCAGACATTAAAAATGGACCCAAGTGACCTAGTTATTTCAAATAAGTTGCTTTATCTGTATGACATATTATATAAAAGCCTTCCCAGTAGGCACAGATGTAAAAAAGACGTTTAAAACGTCTTGTACACGTCTTTTTTAGGTCCGGTGCCCACTGGGTTTCTGTAAAAAAAACTCTTAAATTATTTATATAATTATAAAAAATTTATATAATTGCAGAAATATATTAAGAATTATACTGTTGTAATCGCGGAATTAGTTGTGGTGACCCGTACAATAGGGTTCGCGGCAACTCTATTCCACATCCTATTTCCAAACTTGTTCTTAGTTAGGTCTCTATACCTAAAGTAAACAGCAAAAAATTAGTCGATTTGAAGTTATTGATAAGCAATTGACTTAATATAATTTAGAAACTGTACATGTTTACTTAATGTACTCCAATATTTTATACATAAAAGGATCCTTAACATAGAGATATTTGCGTAACAATTCTTCAGGTGTTTTTAAAAACTTAAGCTATAATCAAGAACTTCCCCTCTCATCAAGATTTATTTAAAAAACAAACTTGGACGTTAGAAAACGGGTCTAAGACACTTGTTGTTTTAAATAAGTTATCTTTATCCGTTTGATTGTTTTAATAAAAACGTTGCTGTAAAAAACAAAGCTGTTAACAAATTCATTAAATTAAGCCGTTTTTACATCCGAAGTTATTAAACATATTGTTTGTGCTAATCAATACTTAATGCAAATGGAAACTTTGAGTACAAAACGCAATTTTAAGTATAAATAGTTTCTATTTATATATATAAAAAACAACAAAATATAAAAAACAGTGCAAAAATGATCAATATATCCATTTGAAACAATAAATCTAAAATAAAAAAATATAGATATTTACTTAGGAAACAAAAAACATATCTTTCTTGACATGACATAAAAATATAAACTTTAAAAAAAACTACAAAAATTTTTGTAGTTTTTTTTAAAGTTTATATTATATTTAACAAAAAGTAACAAAAATACTTAAAAAACAATTTAAATTGAAACATTATTTTATTATTATTAGGCTTTAGGTAGGCCATAATCAAGTCAGCCATAAGAAAAGGAACTCGACCTATAAATGGAACAAAATTATTTTAAGCATAATACACCTTAATTATAAATTAACGTGTCATGCAATCAATTAATTTTTTTGGAAACTCAAAAATGCGAATAAGTGGATAAGAAACTTACTTTTTATTTTTCCATAACTCTGACAGGTCAACATGAATATGAGCTAAGCCTATTAGCATAAAACATCACAACAATTAATTAACAGAACCTGTTAAAGTAAATTCTAGATAACCCACACCTCTAAAGGATAAAGAAATTTGTTTAGTTTAAAGAAGATTAGAGTTATTGGGAGTACAATATTTAAAAAAAAAGCTTACGTGGAATTTCAAAATTAGTTTATATTGTTGAGGGTTGAGTTATCCTGATTTTATTGAACATATTTAAACTACTAACTGCACACACTTGTGAAAACATAAATAAATATTTAAAAAACATAAATCTTTTACTTTATATAGCACATATATATTAACATATAGGAAATAACACATTATAATCTTACATAAAACTGACGACGTTTAAGAGTAAAAAGTAAATTCGAATTAGATTGTGTTAACTGAACTCGAGGAACAAATACCCTCTTGCCAAATGAAACACATGTTAGAACTTGCCCATCAATGTAATTGTTTTGTAGAGCACGCACCATCAATCGGGTACCATTGCAAAGTCCAGCTTTAAGATTAAAATTTCGAAGTAACATTATAACAGCTCCAATTTTTAGCTTTAGGCAATGAACAGGCATTCCCGATGGAGTAAGACTGTTTAAAAACTTAATAACAGGAAAATTGTTGATTTTGCTAAGATCATCTGTTTCAATAGTAAATAAACTTAAATAAACTTTTACATAGCGTGGTAAACGGTCCAAAACTTCTTCATTTATTGCTAATGAATCTACATTAGTGGGTGTCAAAATGGCACGTTTTGCATAACCATCTTAACCTGCAACTTCAAAAATCTTGTCTACTATAGATTCATTTGCTCCAAACAAGTACTGCTGAGAAATTTCAATGCACCTGCGAAAAGAACTATCTGCTTTTAACGATAATGTTCCACTATCAAGTTTTAAAAGAGAATTCATTGAGAGAATTCCTCATCTTCGGCCCGAAACCAAACTTTCTGTTAATGAAAATCGCTGAACATATTGCCGATGTTGAGAACATTTTATACAGGCTTTAACAATATCTGCTGGTTGCCCTCACTTTACAATCGGAAGTATTTTCAGGCTTCAACATTTATGTGCGCTTGATATTTTTTAAAAAGCCATGGTTACTTTGTAACCCAATGGTTATCAAGTTGATAACCGTTGGGTTACAAATTACAACCCAACGGTTATCAACTTGATTTGCTTTTATATTGACAATTTTTTCGTTATCGACACGTCTATAGCGTGGATAACCATTAAAAATTGCAAAAGTGTAAGGGGTTAAAGTTTTTAGGAAATTTTTTGTACATTTCCCATCTTTCATGCAGGAAGAATTGGGATTTAAAATTCCACATGGTCCATGTATCATACATGATTTTATAATTTCATGAAGTTCAGGATCAACAGCTGGAATTTCCTCTAAAATTAAATTGTCAATATCTTCTGCTGTTTCTAGCTTATCTGCATTTACATAGTGCAATAAAATATGTACATGTGGCAAACTACGCTTTTGAAACTCAATTACCTGCACATGACTTACAACTTTGCCTAAGACTCTATGCTTGAAAATATCTTCTAAGAAAAATTTAAGTTTCATTTTAAATACCCGACAAACTAAATCAGGTCTGTCATTAGCAGTTCGGCCAGGGTTTAAATTTTCTACTGTTTCTCTCTATTTTGAATTGAAGGTAAAAGTAATGAATAGATCTGGTTTACCATATTTCTTTATGACTGCCATCGCATATTCAAAGTTTTATTTAGTGCTCTTGGACTACCAACATATGAAGAAGGCAATATAACAACGCAGCCTGGTCTCACATTAAGATCATTAGCACGATTAGTTAGATGTTAATGCAATGCATCATATTGTTCACTTTTAAGTTTGTTTTGGTAATGTTGAGAGACAGGCGCTGTCCCTCAACTTTAACATGTGCATCATCAGCGTATTGCTGAAAAAGTTTCTTACCATAGAATATAGGACTAAAGGTTTGTCTAACCGCAAGTCTATAATTATAATAGAGACAAAGTAACATGGTTTCTAACACGGGTTGCACGGTCAGGGTTGTGCTCCAGTTGATTATGCGATTTAGCATCACCTCTCGGGAAAAATAATAGATATACCATCGGATCTAAATTTGCAGACATAGACGAAATTATTTTTAAAGGCTGACCTCGAGGGTGTATAACAACTTCCCTTGATGCAGGTGGAGCACCATCATCTCCCACAAACAATAGCGACCCTCTCATGGGAAGGTCCGAGCAACTTTAGATAGTCTACCATCTAAAGCTGCTTGGCGGATTTCTTCATCCTCTACCTCTGCCATGTTTTTAAATGCAAAAGAAAATGGGTTTTCTTGATTAATTAATGTTTGCAAAAGTTGCATTAACTCACGTATACAACCACCATTACCAGGTTGCTCCATTCTGAATGACACTGCTGCATTAGGATCATAAATATATAACTGACAATATTTGGGCAAATCGCCTTCTGCAGGCCTCAAATTTCCGACACAATGCAAAATTTGCGCACATACCTAAAACAGAAAGGACCTTTATTTGTGGAAGGAGCTAATTCGGCAGTGAAGGAAGCAAAAGATAAAGAGGAGTTATAACTCCTTATGTGTTTAAAAAAATTTTGATTTACAGCATGATCAACATGGTTTCCTGTCATTAAATCAGTCAACAATGGTGGATATAGAGAAAGAGGAGCTAATACAACTTTTCCTGAATGGCAGCACAAAAAGAGTTTCATTTAAAAATTTCTTCACACTACAATACTGACAATTATGGTTGATTTCTCCGAGGTAATTGTTCTCTGTAGCAATATTATTTCTTGCTATGCGATGCATATTATATTTATATAGTTCTCGCCTAGCCTGAGTTATTTTATTTTGATTGCAATTTATTTCAGCTCACCTGGACTCACCTCTTTCATTCCGACCGCGGTTTATCTCAGCTCGCCAGGGCTCATCTCTTTCATTCCAACGGTGGTTTATCTCAGCTCGCCTACCCTGCTTTCATTCATTTTGTCAAAGTCTAACAATTTCATTTCTTAAATTAGCAGACATAGTCATGCATCAAAGGTGTGTAATAATGATGTCTAATATAATAAAAAGTTGAGTTTTCTTTTTTAAACTAATCTAAAATAAAGTGTAAGCAAATAATATAGAGCATAATATAATAATCTTTTATATTATACCATATATGGCAATGTCTTAAAATAACACACTTTTATTAAAAGGTTAAAATAAATTATAAATAAATTGATATAATCTTTTAAACTGAGTATTGTTATATATTTAAGTTAGTTGTTATTAATTATTTACAAAATATAATTAGTAATTAATCAAAAAAACTAAAGTAAAGTAATTTAAAAAACAAATTTTTACATTTAAGAACTCATGAATAAAGCAAATTAAAAATAATAAGGCCTGTCTGCTCAGCAAGTACTATAAGGATAAAATTTAATCTATAAGTAATAAAACTATAAGGTTGAAATGTATTCATTCATCATAAAAACTCTTTCATTACTTTGAAACGCATTTAATGCAAGATTTGCAATAAATAAATACAAAACTAATAAAAGAAAACCTCTATAAACAATCATATATTTGCTTTAAGTGAAGAAACTTGAAAATATTGAAACTTGTTTAACTATTTTAACTTTTTTCAGATATCTTATTTTTTAAAGAAAAAAACATCTTTTAAACAAATTTGTTCAAAAACTAACAGTATAAAAATTATTTAATGAAGTATAATATCTGTTCAATAAAAGTTACTTAAAATTATAAATATTAAGAAAAATTATTATAGATTTAAAAAGCAATATATCTTTTGTTCTTTTAGATAATAAAAACAAGTTTAAAGAATATGGTTACACAACAGCAGCAGAGAAGGAGGACAAAATAGTTAACTGTTTTATATGTGTTTTCAAAGGTGCCTCTAAAGTTAAAAGTAATGTTGATGGAATAATTATATTCTATTCTTGTATATATTTTTGTTTTCATGTTTATTATTTATTTTCAATATCAATTTTAGATTTAAAATACAATAAAAAAATAAAATATATAATGATTATATTTTAGATTTATCCAATTTGCATGCATCTGTTTAAAATACATCGTATGTTTACATCTTTTTTTAACTATACCAAAAAATTATTAAAGAGGTTTTTAGATTTAAACTTGTCTCCTTTTCTTTAAATCAAATATTGCTCTGATGTGTAACAATTTTTTAATAATAAAATTTTAAATTTTTTCAATTTGCAAAATCTACTATGTAGGGGAAGTGGGGGCATAACCGCATATGTTTAAGATGTTAGAAAAGTTTTGTTTTGAGAAAAAGATGTTAGAAAAGTTTTTTTGTTAGAAAAGTTTTGTCCGAAAAGTTTTGAAAGTTTTGTTAAAAAAGTTTTGTTTTTTGTTAGAAAAGATGTTAGAAAAGTTTTATTTTGAAAAAAAGTTGTTACAAAAGTTTTGATATTTGTTAGAAAAGTTTTGTTAAAAAAACTTTGTAGAAAAGTTTGTTTTTTAATAGAAAAATTCTGTTTTTTTTTAAAAAAGATGTTAGAAAAGTTTTGTTTTGAAACGTTAGAAATTAGATTTCGTATTTTTTTATTTAATTTTTATAAATGAGTTTTTAAATTAAAATAAAGCTAAGATTATATCGAATAAGAAAACTGAGATTGTAAGTACAAAGAATGCCTACACAGTATACAAACGTTCAACAAAATTAGCAAATAATCTGAGCTATGACAATTGTAAATAAATGGTACCTAGAATAGTGAACTCCCAACAATTTTTGTGAGGGTGCGGTTGTGCCTCACATTGGGGGCAAAATCGTTTTTTTCACTAAGTGTAATTTTTGTGTAATAACATTTTCAAAACACGTTCAATTTTTTTCTTAAATGCATCGATTTAAAGCTTAATGATGCGGCTATTGAAATAAACTGCTAAAGAAACATATTTCGTTTTTATTTTCATATAACATTTATTCAAACGTTACGGGGGCGGGTATGCCCCCATTTCCCCTACAACATTTCTGTATTCTTATTTTTAGCTTTGCGTGACATTTTTTACTTTTACATACAGATAATAAAATTTTTTATTCTAAAACTGTATATATATATATATATATATATATATATATATATATATATATATATATATATATATATATATATATATATATATATATATATATATATATATATATATATATATATATATATATATATATATATATATATATATATATATATATATATATATATATATATATATATATATATATATATATATCAGGCGCGGATCTAAGGGTTGGCCATTGTGGCCATGGTCACATAGTTTAAAGTCATATTTATTAGAAAGTTTATTTAGTGTTTATCAAAGATCTTTTAGAACTTTTAGAACTATTTAATTAAATATTTTTGAATATAAGTTATTGAAAACGAATATAAGCTGTATTATTTCAAAACCTCTGCAAAAGAGTGTCAAACTCTACGTAACGTACTTTACTGATAACTCTTATCGGCTTATGGCCATAGAGATAAAATTCAACGGCAGCCAACTTAGCTTTGGATTTTTTTGCTAGAGGAATATCCCTGAAAACGTCATAGTGTCTGCCGTGACTTACGGAATTTGGCCTAAGAGATTCCTGCTATTGCCACAACGGTTCGTATTACACGTACCGACGTTTTTATTCTATCAATAAATGCTCTCAAATAAATAATAAAATCTCTCAACCGTAAGAAAAAAAACTTGGCTAAGAAGTTGTTTTTAAAGTGTCCGATTTAGAAAAATGTTCTTTTAAATAAAAGCTAACAAATTACGGTTCTTTATACACTCTTCAATCTAATGTTCCACCAAAGGAAAACAACGTTGTTTATTAAAGACAAACCAGTTAGCATCTTTTTCAAACTATGATGATTCATCATAATATCTGTGTGGTGAAAAATTAAAATCAGAAATAAATGATAATGAACTGTTATCTCTAATAAATAATGTCTGAGTGCCAGATAAATTCTTCTAATTCCCTTTAACAGGTAAAAGCAGAAAAATACATTTTATGCTAAAATGGTTAGTTGACTTTTCTTGGCTTACTTTAAAGTTTTACTCTAAAATTGAAGATGTTGCATATTGTCTTCCATGTACACTTTTTGGTACAAATTTACCAAACAAATATGCATTAAGTAAACTGTTTAAAGAATCATTCAATACCTGACGTAATGCTATAAAAATTTTAAACGATTGTAAGAAAACTGTTGACAGATTACATAATAATCCATACATTGTTATAATATGCTAAAATTATCAATTTTCCTATTGAAGTTTCTAAAGATATTTCTACGAAGCAGCGTATAGAAAAAAAAGCTTGAATCAATTGTTAAGACTATAATATTTTTAGGTCGAAATGTTATACCTCTACGAGGTCATAGAGACGATAAAAAGTATCAAGGAGAACTTGTAGAACCTTCAAAAACAGAGATGGGTAATTTTATTGAGCTTTTAAACTTTAGAGTTGATGCAGGTGATTTAATTCTAAAGGAGCATCTTCTCTCTGCCCCTAAAAATTCTACAAATATTTAAAAGACCGTTCAAAATGAGTTAAGTAAGTGTTTGGGAAATGCAATTGAAGACGTTTTATCAAATGATATTAAAAAAGTAAGTACTTCTCCATTATTGCAAACGAGGCTTCAGACTGTGCAACAATAAAACAACTTTCTATTGTGTTACGTTATGTTGACTTTAAACAGTTATTTAAAGGAAATTTCGCTTTTTGGAATGCATAACAGGAACAAGTGGTTCAAACATAGCTACCGATTCTTGAAATTTTAAAAGAATTTGGTTTAGATATAAGAAAATACCGAGGCCAGTCTTATGATGGAGCTGCTTCAATGTCAACAAAAGTAATTCATCTCTTATAAAAAATGTTAATCCTAAGGCATTATTTGTCCACTGTGCCCCACATAAACTTAGTTTATTTGTTGGGAAAAGTTGCCAAATCAAGTAAAAAATTTGCCAAATCAAGTAAAAATTAAGACTTTAAAGTAATTTAAAGTCTTATTTTTTGAACTTTTCTCCTAAAGAAGGAATTGTTTAAATAAAAACTTTCTTCCTGGTCAAGCAAAACCTATTGACACAGGTCGAACTTGGTAGGTACAAAAGCTTTGTAGACTTGGTTTTGTGATAATTATTCTACAGTTTTTTCTGCTTTTGAAGAAATAAAAGACAATAATTTAAAAGAGTACAATAAAGAAACAGCTTCAAAAGCATCTTCTTTTATGTAGTTATTGTCAAATTTTTCTTTAATAGTTTCCTTAGTTTTAACTAAACAACTAATGGATTACTTTTATGGAATTTGTCACCTTTGAGACTAAATCTTTTGATTTTTCCCAGCAACTAGATGAAGTTCAAAATTTAACTAATCGTTTAAAAGAAATACGAAGAAATGCTAATGCTTACCATAACAAATGGTATAAAATTGCTCTTGCATTGGCTAAAACATTTAATATTGATAGAAAAAAACCTAGAACATGTGGTTTTCAAAAGCATATAGAAAATCAATTATGTGATACTGTATCTAATTGTTTAAAATTTCTATTTCATTGCCATATCTAAAATATTACTTTGTAATATTTTAGATATGAAAAGAAAAATTCCTACTTTTTTTGAATTTTTGTAAATCTGATCTTCCTCATTTTTCATCAATTTATGCTGAATTAGAGTAATGGGAGGAATTTTGGAAAAAAAAGACATGACTACCATCTTATATTTCAGATACATTTAAGTTAATGGATATGAGAGGCTTTCCAAACATTTTAGAGGCTTTTCATTTATTTGCTACAATACCAATCACAACTTGTGAGTGTGAAAGGTCAATACTCTTAGGAAAATAAAAACTTACACGCGAGTACTATGTCAGAAAATAGATTGAATGGACTTACTTAATATCTATTTAATGTTATTGAAATATTTGCTTTAAATAAGCACCGTAAAGAAAAGTTAAACGCTGAACGCAGAATCTAAATACTCATAAACAAATCAAACATTAAACAAATAGTTTTTTATTTAAATAAGTTTAAGATACAAGTAAAATCATTTTATTTATTATTACATGCATTATCGTATTCCTCATTATGATCGGCTCCATAATGATCATTGTCATCTTTGTTTGAACCGATTAAGCCTCTTCGTTTTAAGAATTGGATAAAAGGACATAACCTTTCCTAATTCCACCTATACGGAAGAGAGCCATTCTAAGATGGGAATCAATGCACGATACCGTATTGCGGATACCGAAGTCATACAATCTCTTGAGTAACTATTGTAATAATTGATAGAGAACTTTTCTTAAAACTCTGTAAAATATATAATATTTATATAATAAAAAACCTTATTAAAAAAACTTGTAGTTATCGCAGTTATGGGTTGATAAGTTGCATAACTGCAAGACAACTGCAGTGCCCTTCGTAAACATAGTAATACAATATTATATAGTATTCTATATCTTTATAACAATATCTGTACAACATATATATATATATATATATATATATATATATATATATATATATATATATATATATATATATATATATATATATATATATATATATATATATATATATATATATATATATATATATATATATATATAAATATTCATATATATATATATATATATATATATAAATATTCATATATATATATATATATATATATATATATATATATATATATTATGAATATAAATATTCATAATATATGTATATATATATGTATATATATATATATATATATATATATATATATATATATATATATATATATATATATATACATATATATATATATTATGAATATAAATATTCATAATATATGTATATATATATGTATATATATATATATATATATATATATATATATATATATATATATATAATTAAAATATATATATATATATATACATATATATATTTTAATTACTCACCTCCCTAAGGCCCAAGGAGCAACTACATTCGAGGAGGCTACTCATTTTTTTTTATATTTGTTTGAGATATGTTCAATACAATTATTATAAGTCTTCAAAGATGTAAAGTACATACTTGCTTACTTACATAATCAATTGAATATAATTGCGGTACCACATAAATAATCTTTTTGTATAATTAAACATTAGTAACTTTTTTTAATACTTGAATGCATCCATGCTATATTATAATATAGCATGCATAAATAATGCATGCAAGTATTTTTGGAACTAAGGTCTTCACAAACTTTATTTCATGTTTATTGTAACATCAAATTAGCTAACCTGTCAATATTCGTACCTTTTGCATTAACATTCCACATAAAATTCTTCCTCAACTGAAAAGTAAAAACTATTTTACTATACCATAAAAATGGCTAATCATTTACTAATTAAAACTTGCTTCTTTATTTTTTACATAAAAATTAGAACAAACTAAATAAAACTACTATTTTAGTATATATATATATATATATATATATATATATATATATATATATATATATATATATATATATATATATATATATATATATATATATATATATATATATATATATATATATATATATATATATATATATATAATATTATTTGCTTTAACAAGCGATTTATTTAATTTTAGTTTAACTTTTCCATAATCATTTCTACTGTTATTGCATTAAACTAGTAATATTAACTCTGAAGAAATTAAAAAAAAAATTAATTTAGATTAGAATAATGCACAATTAATTAATTATGTTATTATTTTCAGCTTATATATTATTAGTTTCTATATAAACATTAACAAATTAAAATGAAACCTTTAAAAGAGTTGTATAATCACTACTTTTGCGCTTTTTTGTTATCTGCTAATTATCAATTCCTTCTTCAGTTTCTGATATTTAAAACTTTTGCAATCCTCATTGTCTGTAAAAGGAATAACAAAACATCCTATTCAAAGCAATGACAAATAAATTTAAAAAGTAAATTATTAAACATTTTGTGAATAAAAATTATATCACAAACTAAAATAACAATTCAAAAAAATATAAAGGTTTTGGTTCTTCTAACCAAACAGCCTGGCAATATGACATTTTGCTAAAATGTGAACACTGATTTGGTTTAAGGTACATCAACACATAACATTAATTAGTAAGTAAACTTGTTAAAAATGTTTTGAATAAGTTTAGTCGTCTAGTTTTTTAGCTTTTTTTGGTAACTTTAGTTTTCCTAATTCCAAGGGATGATATACATATACATACTATATATTTCAACCAGTAAAATTTCAAGCTTGGTAGGTCTTTCATAACATAATAAAATAAATGAAAAATAATGCAATAAGTATTATAATAGCTTTTAGATATAGAGCATAAGATAAGAACAGAACAATTTGAATTCTCTTTTAATGATAAATTTAAACTTTAAAGACTCAAACCAATCATCAACGTACCTTTCAAATATAAAAGGAATTACCTTTAATCTTACATTATTTTTAAGCGTTGAATTTTTATAAATAACTTTTCATAAGCCTCAGCAGTTAGATAATGGTTTAAAAGGTAAACATCTGACAGATGTTCAACTATTAGAATCATATCTAAAAGAACAGAATTTGCAGTTTATCTTGTGATTACTAAAAAAATAACTATTAGTTTTAAAATACATTGCAGTTTTGTTTTACAGAATGATCATCACAGAAATAGCCATTAACTTAATTATTATTTTAGAAAAATTTAAACTTTGAAGGAGTAAAAACGTCACAAAAAATCAATTTACCACTTGCGTGTGTACTTGGTTGTTTCCTGCTGCTTTAATTGTTGTTGCAACTGACTGGACTGTATATAAAATATTAAATGAAATTAAACACGCAAAACCTAATTAACAGTAAAAAATATATTTGCATGGATTTCAGAAAATTATATAATATAGCTATATTATATATAGTATATATATTATTGTTCAAGCCATGTTAATTTTTCTACTAAATAGAAAACAAATGATACAATATAATAATCTATTAAATCAGACATAAGTAAGTTTATTTTCTCCTAAGTGGTTATCATATAGGAGTATGAATAATACTTAAATTTTTAAAAATATTTTTTATTTTACACTAAAAGCCTACACTAAAACTAAAGCTCTATTATATAAATATTTGAACCTCACAATTTTTGATTGGCTGCACTAAAAGTATAAATATTATAACATTGCTATTCGATCAATATAACATCTATCATAATTTATGAAAGATGTTATATTGATCTGTTTATGAAATAAAGAAATAGTTGTTAGGTCCTTATGTAAACAAAAATAATAATTTTGTTTAGTTATTTAAAAAGTAGTTACCATTAAAAATGCATAATTTTTCTCTAAAACTTTTAGAAAAAATTAATGCATTTTAAGTGGTAATTATTTTCATAATTTTTCTACTTTTAGTAAAAGTAGAAAAATTAGGAAGCTAAGAGTTAACTATAGACGTTCTATAGTGTTGTTAAAAATCAAACAGAAAAAACAACTTAAGAATAATTTTTAAAAATGCTGAAACTGATATTTTTGAAACTGCTGCTACTTTTTTGAAACTGCTATATTAGTAGCAATAACTAAAAGAATTATCAAAATATATAGTTACTGTACTTAAAATTACTTTTAATCGCTTATACAACATTATCGAAGAACTTACGGGACTTTTTAGCTGCTTCATTAGCCACAATATAATACTAAAAACAATTTTCTTTTATCTTTTCTAAACCATTTATTACATAATTTAAGATTCATAAGAAATTCTAATTTTTTAATCATAATGAAATTTCGCATTTTTATCTACCGTAATAGAATTGTTATTGCGGAAGTTGCACATGCAAAAATGCACATTCCGTAACGCGCTATACGAAAATATAAATAGTAAATAAAATTCCGTAATAAAGCATTGCGAAAGAAAACTTGCGAAACAAATTATTTCGTAAGAATACTTACGAAATAGTTCCTTACGGAAAAAGCATTCCAGAATGTGTAGTTACGAAAAAGACGCAAAAGATTTTATGTTACGATATATTTAAGATATTAACTGTTAACAGTTTAAATAATAAATATATATATATATATATATATATATATTATATATATATATATATATATATATATATATATATATATATATACATTAACGGGATTTTACTGTATACATATATGTATATATTTATATATATATATATAATATATATATATATAAATATATACATATATGTATACAGTAAAATCCCGTTAATGTATATATATATATATATATATATATATATATATATATATATATATATATATATATATATATATATATATACACATATATATACAGTAAAATCCCGTTAAGTTGGACTCTCAATGAACAGATAAACAGTATGCCTTTCTTTTTAAAAAGTATAAAGAGGATGTGTGATAAACAATTAAATACTTTATTATAAAGAACGAGAGATCTCTCCAAAGGTAAATGATATCAGAAAGAGTGAAAAGAGAAGAAATATATGTGAAACAGCGGAGTGTGAACCTGGGTCTTCGCGGCCAAATGTCTTAACTGAATGAGCTACACGTTCATTCAACTAAGTGAATAGTAATATTTATTCAATATATAATTAAGAAACTATATAAAACAGAATTTACAGAAGAGATACGTATGCAAATAGGATTCTATATATCAGGAAAATGAATAGTAATGTGAACCTTTAGATGCTTATAATTAATATCTGGACTCAAAAACTAGTTACTTTTAATGGAACACAATAGGCTGTAGGAGCCTCAGGGAACTTATATTCAGAAATGGTTATATTAGACTCAGAGTTAGCTAGAAATTATTACAAAGTATTTAGGACAGATGTCTAGTACAAAAAGCAAAAGATTTAAAGCAAAATGATTTATATTATTTGAAAAAGTTTTTTTACGTACATTTTATCATAATTTAAGTAGAACTTAGTAAAGCAAGGGAAACGTGTTGAATTAAGCACAATGAACTCAATCTTAAAAGAATAACTAACAGAAGAGAGGTTGTCACTATTGTGAAGGTGATGAAATATCTGTAATATTGAACATGGAGGTCAAAAAATGCTATTTTAAGTAAAAAGAGTTTGATGAACAAAAGTTACAATGACTGCGGGATGCGAACCCGGATCTCTGCGGCGAATTGTCACGTATCTAACTGATTGAACTATACAATCTTATACTTAAATTTATATCTTATTAAAATTAAAAAACAATATTTTCTAAGATCTATACTTCGAAAAGCGTATTCAAACAGGACTCTACATACCTTTAAAATCTGCTAGAACTTTAGTAACGTGCACACTTTTAGAAATTATTGAAATAGGTATATTTTATCAGAAATATGCTTAAGCTAAAGCATATTTTTGAACCTCTTTTTACTATTTGCTTAAGCATATTCGAACCTGTTTCAAAAATTTCATATGTTTTAAAAAAAAAACATGTATATTCCTACCCATCATTCTTATTTTTAATATGCGTAATGAGTTCAAAAAACATCTTTGCATATATTTATTATGGCACGTTTCGTAAGTTTATTTCCGTTAAGAATTCTTTCGTATGTTGTGATATGAAATACTTTCGTTTCGAAAGAAATTTTATTTTTTATCAATATTTCTAAAAATAAAACCATAAAAATTTAATAGTTATTATACTGAAAATAAAAATTCATTATAAACATTTTGGGATTTAAAGATGTTAATTTTTACAATTAAAATCAGTCTGGCAAACAAATTTTCTTTATAGACTTCAAAACGTCGTTTGGCGAAAATGTTTGTTTCGCAAGTGCGACTCAGGTAGTTTAAGGCCAGTCTCCGTAAATTTCGGGTTTCTTTCGTTAGTGTGCGGGTGACGTGGCTTTTTATCGTTCATATCTCGCGGGAGAATTCCAAAACGCTAATTTAAATTATATCGATGCTATTTTGACCTTAAAAGTCCGACATCAAAAGTTTCTTTCGCTATTTTAAATTTATAACATTGCAATGTGAACATTGTGAACAATACAATGTGAACAATATAACAAATACATTGCCCATAAATTAAATCGTGATATTTTTAATTGGTTATAGATAGCTTAAATTGGATGTAAATAGTATTTTAGTGTGTTCTACAAAATCATTGAGCAGTGTTTTTGTGTACATTGTTCTTAAAGAACAGAGCAGTAATAAACGATAAAAAGTAGGGCTGTACCGAATTTCGGCTCCGGCTCCTGCTCCGGCCGAAATCCGGCCATTTTTACAAATCCGGCCCAAATCCGGCTCCGGCAAAATGTTAGCAAATCCGGCATAATTTTTGCCGGATTTCTGGATGTTTATTTCATCTTTCTTACCCGTGATAACATGTATACATAATACTTATTTTTTGAACTTCATGTTTGTTTTGGTATCTGTATTTACATTTTTTTACAATTTAATTAGCTAAGCCTAATTTCAAACAAGAACACAACAAAAAATTCTGAAGAGAAGACACACGATATTCTGCAATAATGCAAGTGTAAAGACTATGAAGTCAATCCTAATCAACTCATTAGGTGAGCAAAGGCATTGAGGAGAAACCTTTTTAGATTGAAAAAAATAAAGAAAATCCAGCAAAACAATCCCGGCTGGATAATTCTTATACATTATCATCATTACAATGGCAATATATATAGATGAAATTATTCAGTCTACGCCCGCTTGTGGCACAGCACATGAACAACAATTACCAACAGGCATTGACACTCAGCTAAGCCAATATCTGGAAGAATCAGAAATATATAGACACGCTAATTCACTACAGTGGCGGAGTGATAACATCCCGGGAAAAAAAGTTCTGTAGAATTTCTCTAAATTTTTGAAACATATGGCCTAGAGAAACTCTATAAAATTTATATAAAATGTCTATTAAATTCTATAGAAATTGCTATAAAACTTTTAAACAACAAAAATGATGTTTAATAGAAAACAACCCGACGGGCATTTGTTTTTAAAAGTTACGTTCTGAATGTGTTTTAAATGTCTTTTAAACGTCTTTTAAACATTAATGTTTAAAAGACGTTTAAAAGACATTTAAAATACATTTAGATCTTTTAAAACTTTTAAAACTTTTAAAAAGAAATGCCCGTCGGGAACTGTCACTTGGTGATCTAAATAGTCAACATTGTTGACCATTTTCAACACCAAGTAGGGATATACAGGATTTTGGTTCCTGTAGTTTTGCTTCAAAATCCGGCTCCGGCTCCGATTCCGGCCGGATCTGTTAGTAAAAATCCGGCAAATCCGGCTCCGGCCGGATTTGGAAAAATTAAATCCGGTACAGCCCTAATAAAAAGATACAAGTTTGATTATGGAAGTCTATATACATAAT